AACATAAAGATCTGCAGGGGTTTTTTTGTTTTGTTTTTTTTGGTACCATGGATCAAACTCAGGACCTTGTGCTTGGCAGGCTGGAGCGGTGCCACTGAGCTAAATCCCTGGCCCTTGATCTGGAGTTTTAATTCCCGTTCTCTTTACCAACTAAATGTCTTGTCTAGCACTTGTTGATTTCAGCCTTTGTTGTAAATTCTTTGGTGTCTGTTTTTTGGTCAAAGACAATGGAATATAGGATCTGAAGGAGAAATGTACATTTCACCATTTTGGAGAACAGCTTATATTTAATCTAGTATGACAAACTATCTCAAACTATGGCAAATAAAGGTAATATTCTACAGAAACAATTCTTAGTTGTTGGTAAATATTTACAGGGTCATCGCTTAGACACTTTGAGTGCAATTCTACCCTTCTAGTCTAATTTTTGTTGTCAGTCTAATACTTAGACTCTGAGTATTTGTATAAACCCATATTTTGACCCTAATCTTTGAGACAGACATAAAGATTTATGGCATGACATCAACCACCAAATGTAAATAAATAATACAGAGCTGAGTGTGGTGGTGCATACCTGTAAATACACCTACTCTAAGGATGACACAAGGGGATCACAAGTTTGAGGAAAGCCTGAGCAAATTAGCAAGCTCTTATCTCAAAAAAAATTAGATAAAAAGGGCTGGAGACAAACCTTAGTGGTAGACTGTTTGCCTAGTCTGCATCTAAGCCCTTGGTTCAATAAAAAAATGCAAATAATATACATTTTATTAAATATGCAACTACCTAGACAATCATAAATATCACTAGCGGAGCAATGTCTTCCCAAATGAAGTTTGGGCTATGTCCCCAGTTCCCTATGAGGATATAAAATTGCTGTAGAAGATTCTTTCCGGCATAAGGAATTTGCCTTGCTATTCTGAAATAAATTACATGCCTGAGATTTTGCTACAAAACTTGACTACTAAAGTGGTAAAAATTAATGTAAATAATCTCAGCCCATTTGTAAAATTTTCTATGAAAATGAGTTAATTTACATGATCAGTTTCCCAGAAAGTCTTTGACTCTGCACCTGTTTGAGGGCAGCGACTAACTGAGGGAACACAGGTGAGCCTGATGAGGATGCTTTCTGTCTTTATACTTCATATCCTACTGCCTGTCCATTATCCTTGGTGCTATAGAACTGAATTCACCTTGTAAGTTTTGAAGTAATAATGACCTCAAATTATGCTGATAGATGTGAAAACAGATCTTACTGGTCATTTATTAAAATTTCATGAAAGAAATTAAAATATCCATATTTAAAATGTGTGGTTCTCATTAACGCATATAGTTTTCTCATGGATACAGAAAATTGTGTAACTAGCTACATTTTCTTATGTTGTGTTGATTATCTGGAGAACCAGAATAAAATTTTAAAACACATTTCAGAAGGCATAGGAAATTCTGACTTCATTCCATTTTCATTTTCCCTGAAGTTGTTGGTTTAAAATTTTTCTTTAAAATTATTTCATAAGAAAAATAAAAATAGGGGCTGGGGATTTATCTCAGTGGTGCCAGGCCTGCCTCACAAGTGCAAGGTCCTGAGTTCAATCCCGGTACCAGGAAAAAAAAATACATACATAAATAAAATGAAAATAATGTAGAGATGAGGATAATACACTTAATCTCCCATATCATTGTTGCACATGAATTATCTCAATTAACCTTTAAATTTTACTTTGAAGTATAAACTGTTATTTTTCAAAGTCAGTGGGAAAAAAAAGACACAAAGCCAATCTTCTTTAACCTCATTATTTAAAAGTGGTGTATAATTTTTGTTCACATCCAGTGGGAAGAAATGGAGCTATGTAAAAGTAAGCTAAGAGTGTATATTAAAGATAAGTGACTTTCTATGTATATGAAAAGTGAGAAGAAGCTGAATTGCAAAGGACAGCAAACTCCATAAGTACTTTTTAGGATAAAATTAAGAAACAAAAGACACCTAAATTGAAACCTTTTTAAACATGAAGCAATTTAGCCTTAGTTGTCTACTCATTCTCCTTACTTTGTTTATATAAACTACAAAATTGTTCTATTTCCCTGAAGTTGTTTCTATATAGAGAGTACATTGTACTCCATGAATATTTATCTCATATGCAAATCACAAAAAGTGACTGAAAATTATTTCACCATAATACAAATCATTTGAAAAATCTACTTATTTTAAAAATCATTTTCAGGAAATATTTCCCTCCTATAATGATCTTAGCTTATTTTCCCATCAAAAACTACACAGGTGTTATTTGTTATTTAATGTTGCATATGATGAATTGCATTCTCTTTTATTGGGGACATGTCTAGCATATCAGATTTTAATGCACTGACTATTCTGGACTGTGGCTCATAATTTAATTTTTTATTCCTCTAGTCATAAGTTTGGCGATAAGTTTGTATCTGCCACCAAACTATTTTCAACAAATTCACTGAAATTAATTTGTATTGATCTCAGTATTTGGGTGATTTTGAAATAAAATTATAGATAAATTGCTAATAAATTTAAAATCACTGTTTTGGTAAGTTTTTCCTGATTATATTATCCCAACTAATCAAATATTTTTTATATAGTAGGGTATTATCTTCTTATCTGGCAGCTGACATGCAAACTTTATCTTATTTATTCTAAATTTCTAAGCAGATATAAAATTTCTAAATGGATATAAAAAGACAAAGAATATTGTATACCTAAAATGTACTGATAAACTTAATGAATAAAAAAGCAATAATCAGGGCTTCCTTATACTTGGAGATTGAATCTTCTCTGGAAAAGAGACCAGTGTAATCAAATGTGACTTAGCAGTTCTGTCTACACTGAGTATGAAACTGGAGGTAATTTTTAAAAAGAAAAAATACCCAGCTTTGCTTTATATTTAGATATTTTATTGAAAACTTTAAATGATACTTATTTTATTTAACAGTATTGAGTTTTACATACAAAATCACCCCTCCTGTGTCACTTAACCACTTCCCCTCAATAATTTGAAGTCCAGAGTTGTAAAATTGACCTTAATCAACTCTGTTTTGTAAATAAATATATAGAATTTTAAAAAGATGAAGTTCCTTGATATATGACTTACATTAATTCATGAGAATGCATTTGTGATATTTAACAGTGTTTACTCTGTATGTTAGAAATTTGGACAAGTATTGAAGAGAATGCAGTAAATAAAGTAGATACAATCTTTGTCTACATGGAGCTTAGCGACTAGTGAGAGTGATGTTTATCAAATAAATATACAATGATAGGGCTGCACAAGTATTATTTGTACTGTAGTGAAAATGAACAGGGCTCTAAGGCAATATTTGAGTAGCTGACCTCATCAAGCCAGTGGGGTCAGGCAAAGATTTTGAGAAAGTAGCCTCTTAACTGTTATGTGATAGAGTAACAGTTATTACTGATTCTATGGTGAATTTTTTTCTCCCAAGTTTTAACATTTGAATTTAGAAAAGTATATGCAATCAGTGAAGCATCCTTAATTGGTAGCCTGTCTGCATGTCTTCCTGCCTACCTACCTGCTTCCTTCCCTTTTTCTTTCCTGCCCTTCTACCTGCCTTTATTCCTCTTTAACTTTTGTCTTTCCTCCTGGCCTCTCTCCTTTCCCTTCCTCCTATCCTTCCTTCTAAGCAATATGCAAAACATCATTGTAAAACCACAGTGAAATATCACCACACATCTACTGACATACATTGAAAGAATAATATTAATAATAATAATAATGATAATAATAATACTAAATATTGAAAAGGGCACTAGAACACTTGATTACGAACAGGGCACTAGAACTTGATTACTAACAAAGACAAAATTCAGAGGAAAAAAAGATAATATTGGAAATAAGCATGATTAAAATGGTTATTTTAAATTTTCAGATAATTTTAATGAAAGGAAAATGAAGAAAAATTTAAACAAAGCCATAGGAATTAATCTTCCCCGTCTGAAGGAGTCGTAGGATCAGATGTTTTTAAATGTGGAGTTATTTTGTGAATCACAGCCTATACAAATGCAAAGAATTCCTTTTGTTACAGAAAATATGAGAGGACAAAAAAGTGGCCAGAGGGAAGCCACTTCTTATGTAAAGAACTGATGAGTCCGACATCAACCCTGTATGACTTCGGTTCATGTTAATGCAGGAAGGAGGCGCAGGTTTTGGCAGGAAGGTTTAGTGCTTCTTACTGTGACATTCAGAAATGATACAATTCTTTAAAACAAAATAAAGTTCACTGGTATAGCAACTCATCTCCAGAGGAAACGGATAAAAAGAGCAATGAAGCAAAAGTGCCAACAGGAGAGAATTTAGATACAATGGTCAGTTAAGCCACTAGTAAGAACCAAAAGAAATTTACCGTAAGCGATTGAGTCTAGTCTTTTATCTTTTACACAGGTAGTCAAAGAAATAAACCACTCCTAACAATATAGTCACTGGCCATTTTTACAGACCTCATACAAAGAAATACTTCTCAAGTGGCTAAAATTACTTCCAACTTTGTATACCAAAGTGATTTTAATTCAATCATTTTTACTCTTGTTTTATTTGTGGGTGCAATAAATATATATAACAGTATGTGGCACACAAGTATGATTAAATTATAGTCTCTTCTTGCTGTTTATGGAAACGGCTGTAGCAAAAAGCAAAAACCGCGTAATGATAATTATAATCTTTTTGCTACTATTTATGTAATTATTTTGTAAACAAAGTTTAATGGCTTAAAAGGAAAGATCTGAATAGTGAGTATACTGAAATGCACGACAGCAATGAAACCCTAAATGTGAATGAATAAATTTAACATTTCATAGTATATTCTGTTATTTGACATCCTGTTTTTCAGATTTTGACTTATACTAAATAATTTTGCCCAGCTAAACAAATTGTTTTTTCAGTGTTTTCATTACTTTATGATACTATTGTAGCTGACTTTAATATCCGCTTATTATTTAAAAACACAAATTATCAATGAGCCTTCTACACCTTCTAATTCTTCTAATTCATTTAACTATTTGTCTCTTTATGAACTTGCAGTTAGTAATCTAGTTATCAACATTATTTGAATGAGTTAATTTTGGAAATGTTTTCAGATATTTTTGCCACATCCTATTTGCCCCCTCCTGAGTATGCAGTACAAAGTAGAATTATCAATCATGCTAATAATTTCCCAGAGTAGCTACCCAAATGTAGCCAGTAGATGTCTCTCTTCCACTCACCCAATAAATGTGTGTTCCTTTCTCATCCTTGAGTTGGAACTCACCTTGATACTCTTGTATATTTAGTGCTATTTGTTCTTTGGGCAGTATCAGTACAATTTAAGTAGACAACTAACAGTCAGGATGACCTAAATTCCAAAGCAAGAGAAATGAAAAAAATTAGTTTTGTTAATGTTTTGTTTCATTTTCAAGGTTCAGAGATAACACTTGCTTGGTTTAAGAAGAAAACTTTGAGAAGGTATGAGACTGAAAGTTTAAAAATTAATGGCAACCAGAGCAAAAATTGTATAATTTACATTTTGAAGAAATGAGTAATGATATAATCAAGGAATTATATAACAAATGCCAATATTATGTATAATTTCATGTTACATTTACATACACTTTTAGTACACATCAAATGTAATAAATTCTGGTATACCAAATAATGAAAAAACATAAGGACTGAAATAATGTGAATAAATATATATGTACGCATAACCCAAGTTAGCCAGAATTTAAAAGCACTCAAAAGAAATACAATTCCTTTCTTTGATAAGTGTCTCTACTACTTCCTGTAGGCAAAGGGATATGCCACATGTGCTTCTTTTGCACTTATGTTATGAACTATTTGTTACCAAACACAACAATTGAAGAACATTTCAAATTATCAAAATTATATGACTTTTTTCAAAGTTACGTAGTTTTCCCAAGTACTGCTTTTTAAGTTATTTATTCTTGTTTTTCGTATTTTTGCCATTTTTGCCTTTCATCTTTTTTAATACATAAATTGTCATGCTTATTGATCATATTCATCATAGAGAATTTGTACCTGTACCCAATATAACTTGAATCTCCTTTTTTCCCCATTCCTCTCCCCTCCATTTAACCCTTACTCTTCTTCTCATTTATAAAAATTTTGTTTGCACTTTCCCTTCCATTCTTTGTCCCTTTCTCTTTCCTTCTGCTGCCTCACCCCCCTCCATTATTTCCCTTTCCATTTGAACATTTTCTTCATACTTTCCAATACCAATCCTACATTATACTCCTTATTTATTGGGTTTCTCACACTAGAGAGACAATGCAATATTTAAATTTGTGTGTCTGATTTATTTCACTTATGATTATGGACTCAATGTGCATCCATTTTCTTACAAATGACTCATTTATCCTTCTTTATGGCAGAGTAGCACTCCAGTATAGATAAATACATTTTCTTTATCCATTCATCTGTTGGTGGGCACATGAGCTGTTTCCAAGACTTAGCTGGACAAATATTGTGTACTAGTCACCTTTCATTGGTGGAACATGATACCTAATATCCACAACTTATAGGAGTACAGGTTGAATTTGGCTTGCAGGTCAGGGGACTAAGGCCATGGTCAGCTGACTCCAAGGCAGATACATCATGGTAGAAGGGCATGGTAGAAACAAGCTGTTCAACTCATGGTAGCCAGGAAGAAGAGAGAAGAGAGAAGACCTGGGGACAACAGTACACCCTTCCAGGTCAAGACCCTGGTGATGCACCCCCTTCGCCATGGCCCAGCTTGAAACACAAGAGACTTGGAGACATTTCAGATTTAAGCCATAATATTTTAGTCCTGACTCCCCAAAAGCTTCATGTCCATCTCATTACGCAAAATATGAGTCACTAAAGTCTTAACAGTTCCACACATTACTGGAAAGTCCAAGTCTAAACTCTCCTCAAAGCAAACTTTGAGTTGTAAGGCTCTGTAAAAATCTAGAGAAAATCAAATATTTCCAGTATATATTGGCACAGAGTAAATGTTCCCAACCCAAAAGAGAGAAATTGGGAACCAGATAAAAACAAGACCAAAATGCAGCAGAGAAGACATGAAATTCTATAGCTCCATGTCCAACACCTGGGTCAAGTTGCAAGCAAATATCAAGTCCAGTGGGCTTGGGAGTCCCACCTCTATTGCCCAAGTGGCCTCTGTCTTGACCTGACTATGCTTGCTCTCTATAGTTGTCTGCAGTAGACATTCCATGGTCCTAGAATCTCCAAATTCTTGGGGTCTCCACTGCACATTAAGCTTCATTCTTGCAGCTCCATGCATCATCCTGTCAGGAGCATATTGTTAGGCCTCCCGAGCCTTCCTTTGAAATTTGTGTGCAAGCCTCCATGACCTCACAAACCTTGCCTTTTGCATGCCTACATGACCAGCACCACATGCACGACATCAACATCTGCCACCTCTATGAGTAGTATTCTGGTTCCTTTGGTCTATGACTGCTATAGCCAGTGGCTGAACTCAGGCAAACACTTCTCTAGGGTTCCCTGTGCTTCTCTTTTCAAAGTAAAGTCTTTCAAAGGAGTTTACCTTTCATTGTCCTTGAGTTTGTAATGGGTGGGGTCTGGCCAATTCCTGAGATACTTCAAGACATCTCTCCTATTGTTCTTATACAAAATTCTTCACTTCTTTATAATGTTAATATTTTCAGCAACCGTGTTCTTGGCCCCAATGTTGCAGGTGTTTCTTTTGAACTGGAAATTTTAAAAAATTGTTAAGTTCTGCTTTTATTCCTCTTTCTCACTGTAGATTTGGCTGAACACAACTGGGTGTATCTACGCCACATCTTGAACATTGAGCTACTTTGAAATTTATTTCATCAGGTCAATTTAGCCTCTATAAGTTTAATCACTATCTATAAATTTAGCCTCACACAAAATCTTAGGTCAAGGACAAAATACAGATGAATTATTTGCCAAAATTGTACATTCATACCTCTAGTCTGCATTCCAATAGGTCCTTGTTTCCTTCTGAAACTTCATGAGCTTGGGTTTATTGTTCCCATTCCTACCAGTATTCTAGTCTTCTGAACTCTGATGAAATTCACCCAACAAGTTCCGATTACAAAATGTTAAGGCTTTTTAAGTGTTATTTCCAGATCTTTCCATACTCCTAACCCAAACTAGTTTCAAAGGCTTCTGAGCCACATGGTCAGGTACAATTATATCAGTGACCTCACTCTGGATACCAACTTTCTGTGTTAGTCATCTTTCTCATTGTTGAGATCCAATCCCCAACAACCATAGCTTAAAGAAGAAGAGTTTTAATTTGGCTCATGGTTCAGAGGATTCGGTCCATGTTTGGCTGACTCCAAGATCATGATAGACGGGCATGGTGGAAGCAAGCTCCTGACATCAAGGCACCTGAGAAACAGAGAGAGAAGGGAGGAACCAGGGACAAGAATTCATCCAAGTATTTGGGCCCACCTCTGGGTACGTAATACTTTAGAGAATCATTTTAGATAGATCTAAATCATAACAGACTCCATGATGCTATGGTGGAGTCATTTTTCTACACAATCATGACTCAAACTTTTGGAAGCCACTGAAAATGCTTAGCTAGTTTCTTTTCATTTCTGTCTCACTAGGATATCTAACATGCTTCAAGAGAAATCAGATTCACTGTCATTTATTATTTATGTCAGTTTTAAATATCTTACAAATAATCTAAAACACAATGCATAAAATATTATTCCTAGCAGTCCACTCTGTTAAATTGGCCTAGTTATAAACCATCAACACCCTATCACTCAAACGATCTGTTTTTCCTGAGCATCTGAATATTTAACTTCACTTTAGGAATCACCTCTTCATTTTTTTTTTAAAGATTTTTAGTAGATGTTTCTTGTCTTCCAAATTCTTTGAATTGCCATTACTCTACCTAAAATATAATTTCTAAAAATTGCCAGAGAAATTCCAAATAGCTCTTTCTCTCTGTATAATTTTTAGCTAGTATTGCTACCCAATATTTCAGTTTAACCTACTTTTAAAGAAAAAAATAGCTTTGTAGTATTTAAAATGTAATCTGAAATTGATTATTTGTCATGGAATATAGAGCCTGGCAGTCTAAAAATCACTGCTGTATTTTAAAGAATTAAAACCCAAATTAAAATTTAAACCATGCAATCATGCAGAATATATATTGTAGGGACAGCAAATGGGCTCTGTCATTTTACTGGTAACAGCTATTTTCTCCTCATAAATTCTGTTCATAGATTACATGCAAACTATCAACCAAAATTGAAACACAAAGTTGGAGGAAAGTAATGAGTAAAATGAACATGTTCCCTTGTAATATCTAGACCTCTCTTAACTGATCAACAAATAATAGTCAAATAATGCTGGTATATTTGAAAAATAAGGTACAGTTTCTTCCGACAGAGTGAAGGGGGATGGAGAAGAAGGAAAGAAGGAGGAATTGGGGAATAAAATTAGGAAGAGGAACAAAGAAAGTAGATTAGAAAAAAGGTGGGAAAAGGAAGCAGGAGCAAAAGAAGATAAGGAAAATGTGACTATAAGAGTAATCATTCAGATTTCATTTGTAGAGTTTGGTCACATGTAATACTTATAATATTTGTTAAGGAACTATTGTAGTGCATAAAGTCTCATATATCTTTACAATTACATTTCTTCTCCTTATTTCAATAAAATTAACATTATTCCCAATTTCTGTGACATTTCCACACTTGTTAGACTAAGTTTCTTAACATAGAAGTTCACACTAAGGTCAATACTAATTATGGAATTGAAATTGAGGGTCAAAACATTGGCTCTTAGGTTCAGGCAGTGTAGGAGTATATCACAGAGAGCAAATGTTTCAAAGAGCCACAAGGTTTGAAAATGTCCCTGAGCTAATCTCCCCAGAAAACCGACATCATTTAAACATGAGATACTGCCAAAAACATAGTATATAAGTAACATCTAGCCCCTTTTCAAATGTATTTCAAGAGAAAAAAAAATAAAAGAAACTCAATGATTCAATAAATAATAGGAAAAACACAGCCCAAAAGAAAATGATAGCATTATTTTACTATATAAAAGTTGGGAAAAAAAGAAATTAGAAAAATTATGCAAAAACTAAAAGATCAGCTGCAATTAAAGATAAGCTGTGAAATATAGACCTTGTGTCCAGAACATATAAAACAAGATCTCTAATATAACCAGAAAGAATTATTGAGAGCCAGAATTAAGGGAGGATATAAGCCAGAACAAATATATACTACTGAAAAAAAAGTAAGGCAAAATCAAAAGACAGACAAAGGACAATGTAAAGATGTTAGAGACCCAAGAGACAAGGAAGAAAGTATTAGAAAATTCAAAAGGAAAAAAGTAAATATACTTGAAAGTGCTAGCTACTAAAACACAAGCACTGGTCATAATGAAGTAGAAGGGAATAGATTTATAAACCCATCTGAAACAACCAAAGAACATATATACACAAAAAATGAAACAGTTTGTAAGACACTGACCATCAGCCAACAAAAAGGTGATAGCACCTAAAGAAGAAAAGTAAATCTGAAGAGCCTTACATGTACCCCAGTTTAAGACCTTGTGAAAGGTCCCAAGCCTTGGGGTAAGTCCTTGAAACTTCCCTGAGTTGAGGCATCGGAATAGAAATTCTACAGAGAAAAGGTATAAAAAGAGTTTCAAGAAGACAACATCAAATAGAATATATCTATCTAATATAGTTCATTAGTTATATAATAATATAATTAATAAGTTATTGTCTTTATATAAGGTTTTTCAATTTGCAAACATTAAAAAGAATACAAATAATTGTATAACAAATATTTGTATATCTTTTCCTGAGCTAAAGAAATAAAATAACAGACATACTGTTCAGTACTTATGTATACTCCTCTGATCATTTTTTTTTCCTGTGTTCATCTTACTAAGAATGAATCTCCCAAACCTGATGATTCTCCAAGACTTGGAGTTTATTATTCTCATTAAGAAATTCTCATATTTATTGTATATATAGATCTGTACTACATACCCATATGCATGTGTTAATTACTCATTTATTCAATCAGCATATAGTAAGTGATATTTACTATCATGCTGAGTGCCTGTATTATTTTAACTACTGGAATTAGGCCAAACAATAAAACACAATCCAAACTCCTTTGTCCTGAAGATAACATTTTAGTGGGTTAAAAAGACAGTAAATAAAATAAATATCTAATATATATGATGTAAAATACATAAAATATGTATAAGAAAGAAGAAAAGAGTGTAGTCATTTTCAAGTATTTTTAAAATACGTTGTTAAAAGAAGTGAGAGTGAGTCATGTGGACATTGAGGAAACAATCACATTGCAGGCAGACAAGAAAGTAAGTACAAAATCCTGGGTGCACATTATGGTTTACATCTAGCTGTCCCCCCAAAGCCTCTTTCTCTCATAGGTGGGGTTTTTAGGAGGTGACTGAATCATGGGGTGAAATATTCACGAATGGATTAATCAATTGATGAGTTCAAACGTGATATTGGGAGGTGAAGCCTGGTTGGAGGAGTTGGGTCACTGGGGCATGACATTGAAGGATCTATTTCCCTCCTCTGCCCTTGTTGCAGCTCAAGCCTGAAGATGGCTCTTCCTCTCTTCCCTGCTCCCTTTTACCTCCCTATTCCCTTTCTCCTCTGTATTGTAGACCCTGGACGGCACAGCCCCAGCAGATGGTTACATTGTATCCTTCCTTGTTCCCTTCCTGCATATGCCCGGATAGTGAAACAATCAAGCTAAGTCCCACCTAGGCCTCGTAGGCCACATAGCACTATTTGCTCCACCTTCTCTTCCTGTTTGCCTTCCACTATAAAAAAAGAGCATGTGGTACTCCACATGCCATTAGCTCAGACAATCTATGGTTCCACCAGATCCCAGCTAAGAGTAATCTTGGTCTTCGTTGTCTTTTCTTCATCTCTCACAACTCTCCCAGCTGCAGACCCTACACTGTGTGAGTTGAAGCACACTCTGCTCCCTCTCTGCCATACCCTGTGTAGTGTGTCCTCTGTGGTGCCCCTTTGCCATACCACCCTGCCTTGGAGCCACCCAACTCACTGAAACTTCTACAAATTGTGAGCCAAAACTAACCTTCCCACCCTCTTTAGACTTGTCAGTGTCCTGTCGGTCATTGTGCCTCAGTGATGAGAAAGGAATACAGTAAGATAGCAAAACTGAACTGGGTTTGTCTGAAAAACAGCAAAGAAATATTGGAAAATATTTCAAGAAGAAAGTGAAGCAAGGGAAACAAAATAGTATGGATAAGTTATTGAAAAGGTATAGATTGTGACCATTAGATGATTTTGATGATTTGTTAACTCTTCTGCAATGGAAATCATTTGGCTGAATTTTCTACAGAGGACAGGCACAGTATGCCTGGTATCATAGCAGACAAATCATGGAATGTGGAAAATAAGACTACTTTTTTGGGTTTTTTTAGTTTGTCATTTTGTATTTACTGGGAAGCTTGGTAGAAGGTAGATAAGTCACATGGGAGGGTTATTGCAGTAATCTAGGTGAAAATTAATGGTAGCAAAAATCAAAGTTTTAGTCTTGAGGAATTGGAAAGACTTGCCATTAACTGAAGAATCCATAAGCACGGTGTATTAGGGGCCATTGGCAGTAAAAAGATGAAAACATCAGTTTTGAACATGGTGAACTATATATACACATGATGTTAGAACTCTAAGAGAACAT